GACAGGGCTTTCTGGAAGTTGAGCTTGCTTGTACTGAGTGGTTTTGACGTGTATGTATGCAGGTGTTGAAGGAGTGGGGAGTAACAAAGCTGTGGAACTTCAATGAAGAAGGTCAAATAAATCCCCCAGATCATGTTATATGGAAAGTGGTAAGTATATAACTTGTGTGTTGCATAAAGGAGATCAGGGCTACATGGCAGAGAAGTAAGTAAGAGGGGAAGAAAAGCAATTGTTTTCATACAAGATTGGTTATGTTCAAGCAATGACTTGAAACTGCCTCTGATCATCATTGCTGGTCTCCCTGTGTCCATGCCTTTCTCCAGGGGCATCTGCCTGGCAGGTGCAGTTCTGGAAGTTGGTTTTGGTGGCACCAAGGCATTGCCTGAGAGCTGCTAGACAGCTGAGGGTTTACACTGAGTGCAGCCAGCAGTGGAGGCCAGGCAATGGAGATGGACTGGACAAAGCCTCTGGGGAATTGGCGGTCGCTGTCTCTGTGTCCGTCGCTGAGTGGGACTGGCTGTCTGTCCGGCCACCTGCAGCGGAGCAGTGGCATCAATCAGTCTGCTCTGCTTGTGCTGGGAAGCCTGATGAGCAACTGTCATGCAGATGCTCCCTGGGAAGCTGCTAAATAGTAATTGTTGAAGTAATTACTAGCAACAAGTGGGGGGGAAAAAAAAGCAGCTCAGAAATTGTTTTCAGATGTCTCAGACAGTGGTGATACTTAGGGTGATGAATATGCAACTATCCATATAAAAACTAAATGATTGTACTTGCCACAATAAAATATGTCATGAAAACAGTAAAATCCATCCCCCCAGACTCAAAGTCTATGTAGATGTCCAGTTCAAAATGTTCCTTTGAACCCATAAAACCTAACTCCAAAAATAGTGTTGATGATGTTGTAAAGGAAAGAAGAAAAGTGTGAATCAAAAGCACATTGTTCTCAACCTGGTGGGGGGCTTTACTGTTTTCCAGATGAAGCTTCTGCTGGCTTTCACAATTACACCTTTGACTGATTTTTAACTGTCTTTTGGGGCAGGAAGGGGTGAGAGGCAGTATCCTCCCTTTAGCAAAATATATATTTTTCCTGACTTGTTTCTGCTGGATCCATGATGAAACTAAAGAAAAATCACTGAAAGGGAAGCAGTGCTGCATGTCTCAGACAAACCCTTTTAAAGTCAGCTGAAAGAAATGGCAGATATATCAGCATCCTGCAGTAAATGATAAATGAGTTCCAGGAAACCCACTCTTTCTAATGCAATAATCCACTCTGCTGAATAATGCTGTTATTCTAAAGTGAATACAATCTTAGTGTTTACGTCATATTTTATGTATGACAAACTGCTTTGCAAAGAGGCTGGACAAGAAAAAGAGCATTTTATGGATTTTATACTGTTATGTACTAATAAAAAAAGAAACCCATTTTACTGTGAGAGTCAAGCAAAGAAAAGCAGTATTTAGATGCAGGGAATTTTCTTAGAAAGACTATTATTATGAATTAGTAGCTTTTATCTACTCTCCCATAAAAAAATTGTCTAGTTCCATATTTTAATATTGGAGTGTTCCAAAATAATCTAGACTAATTTTATTCCATTGTATATGTTGAATAAAGTAAAGCTACAAGATGTTGAGATTTTTTCTTGTACTAGATGCTCCCCAGGGCAGTGGTCACAGCCCCAAGCTTGCCAGAGTTCAAGAAGCATTTGGGCAATGCTCTCAGGCACATGGTGGGATTTCTGGAGCCATCTTGTGCGGAGTCAGGAGTTGGACTCAGTGATCGTTGTGGATCCCTTCCAACTCAGGAAGTTCTGTTATTTTATGATTCTGTGATTCTGTTCAGCATAATTTCTGGTGGTAAACTGAAAAAGAGAATTTGGGATCCCTTGCAGAAAACTGGGGGTCCCTTCTTCTTTTTTTCCCCCTATCATCTTGTACCTCTGCACATATGGAAACTTTGTCTTAGCTATGTAAGCATTCTTTTATTCAAATACTAATTTAACTTAGTGATTGCAGAGAATGATCTGTGCTCTGGCATTTCATCTTTTCCATTTAGCACAGAGAACTTCTTAAAATTGATTAGCTCACAGCTCCTAAATCTTTCATAGTTTTGGCTTTTTTCTCTTCCCTCAGTGAAAAAGCTGCTGGTTTTAACCCTTTGCATGAACTGAGGGGAATCTGTTGCCTAGCCTTTCAGTATTTGTGATGTTTGATGTTTCCTAGACCGTCCTTTGGCTTTTGAAAATCATCATTCCTGTGCTTTTTTTGTCACTGACGTGCAGGCGCTAGGGCCACTGAAGCAGCCTGGCAGCAGTTTGGAGGGGAGGGAGCTGGGGAGGGGAAAGGTGCAGAGAGTGTTTTTGCCAGCTCTGCCAGTTGCATGGGAGAGAGGACAGAGCTGGGAGCTGTACAGCCCTGCCACCGAGCAGCCAGCTGCCCACCCACCCACAGGCTGCTGTGCCACCCCAGACTTACAGACAGACAGACATGTCCTGAGTGTCCGTGGGCAATGTGGCTCAGTGAGCTGAGAGCATAATCCGTGGGGATGCAGCCGGACCTCAGCGCCGGGGGACGGTGCCTCGCAGCTGCCGATCGGGAGCACTGATCCACAGTCAGCCTGTCCTTTTCCACACTCCACTGATGGGGTGAGCTCCTTATCCTCGGCAGGGATTGACCCACAGCAAAGCACCTCAACCTGTGGGCATCACATCTGGCCAGTTTCCTTGGAGAGGCTTGGGAAGTAGGTGTTGCTTTCCCAGCCCGCTCCAGGTAAGTAATCTGATCTTAAACAAAGAAGCACAGAGATGGCTGTTTTTCATTTAAAAATATGCTAAAGCAAAATGATTTTTTTTCTTGTTATTTTGAAGGCATAAGGTTTGAATATTCTCATGCTCTGTGCCTCCCTTGAGCTTCTGGATCTTGGGAGTGATAATGAGGGATTTAATTCTGGGCAGCAGGTGCTGGCAGCAGGGATGCGATGCAGCGCCCGTAATCGTGTTGTCGGGTTCATTTTGCACCATCTGGGTGTGAAAGGAGCAGTCAAGCTTTTAATTGCAGTCCTTGGGCATCTGGTACCTTCCTCCTGCTGCTGGAGATGCAGACATGGTCAAGGAAAGACACTCTGTGTGTCTGAGGCACGCAGAGAGTTAAAGCTGGGGGCAGCAACGCCACTGCCAGTGTAGCCACTGTTCTGGGGATGGGTCCCTGGGGAGGGGAATGGGAAGGCTGTTCCCACTTCCACTGTTCACCCATCACCTTTTTTACCAGCTCAGGAGAAAAGGAAAGTTGGTCTTTCAGTTGTCTGGGCTTCCTGTTCTAAATGGACTTGCTTTTCTGAGTTGCAGATAATCCCAGTTGAGGAGATGTAAAGCAGATGTGGTCACAGGGAATGTGACCTGTTGTTTGAGCAGGAACCAGGCTCGTGCTGTGACTGCCCTCTGGGAACAGGACCAACACCTGCTGGAGACCTGGGCAATGTGGGAGATACCCCTAAAAGACCAACTGCTGAATCAGCTTCTTGCTGTGTTTTTATGTATGATCCAAGTGGTGGAAAAGACAAGAAGGCAAAATCCATGATAGCAGTGACAGGGTCACAGTCCATCACTCCAGTGTGGCAGGGCATGGCAGGAGGAGGCTCATGATCTCAGTGTGCTGCAGGGATGGCAAAACTGTGGGAGAGAGGGAGAACTATTCAACTAGGGAGTATCATTTCCATAATTTACCTTGCATAGGTTATCCAGACTTTTCCAGCCCTACATTGTTGAGGTATTAGAGTCTTTCTAGCAGTGTGGCTAAGATATGATGAGCATCTGTGGTTTATGCAGACTTGCTCAGAAATATCAGTGTATCAGGAGAATGTCTCCATTGAGACTGAGATTTTTGTAGCGAATATGCAAATCTGTTAGTGACAGTGATATCACTGCATTGTTTTGCTTTTGTTGTTGTTGGTTTTTTTTAATTTAAGAGGTAAGAAAACCAAGCAGGTTCTGACCAGAGATGTGTTAAGATGTCAGTGTACATGCCTCCAGCCAAAGTGTTGGCAGGCATCTTAGGGATAAGGCTGGGGACAAGCAAGTGATGGCACAGTTCACCTGGAAACTATCACTGCCCAGGCAGGGGCTGGCACAGACACGCCCCATCCTCTGCCTGAGGAGCTCCCTGTTGAGAGGTGTGCCCTGCACTGTGTTCTGGTCACGGAGGGGAGCTGTGGGTTGTGCTCCTGGGTTTTGGAAGCTCCATTTGGGATGTGATGGGAGACTCAGGGATGTTGGGAGCAGGGGGCTGGGAGCATGGGTGGGAGGTGGGAGGTATGGAGGGAGGGTGGGTGTTCCACTTGCTTTGGAAGCAGAGTCACTGGAAATCAAATACTTGAGGAGGTAAGATTGAAACTGGTGTTGTTTGTTACCGTTCAGATTACTAAGTGTAGGCCATCTGTGTCACTTTTAAAATGGTTTGTACTATAATGTGTACAGCACTCTGCCAGAGGAGCAGGGTATGATGTGCTAGTGAAGGACAGGAGGGTTTTTTCTTCCATCTTCTCTGTTTTCCATTTTACCAGGGTACAAACTGTGTCCATTACACTGAGGGTGTAGGTGAAACAGTCCAGTGGCACAGGGTACAGCACCACCCCTCTGTTGTCCTATGTTATGCTGACTTTGAGGCCCAGAAACTCTTTGTCTGGTTTCTCTAAATAAATGTATAGCTATTTCCACCTTGCTCCAAACATGTTTGCATTTAGAAAGGAAGAGAAAGGTGAGGAAAAGCTAGCTTGAATCTTTTAAATGGAAATGGCCTTGCCTAATGCTTATACTTCAAAATCAAGAATCAGCTACCTGGAGTTTTTACTGGCTTTGGCATAACTTTCTATTGACCTCAGAGAAAGCAGTAACTTTTCTGTGCTTTCTAGGGCCTTTTTCTAATATGCATGTCATATTCTCCTGCATATTCCTCACCTCGAAGGGTGTTATAAGAATTAAAGCTCATAAAGCATTCTAAGATTTGCTAATATAAATCACCTTAGGAGTGCAAATTGAATTATGTTGCCTTCTACTACTAGAAATTAACCTACACTTTTAGTTATAGCTGTTCTGAGATGGATTTAAAGGATAATATAAGGGTGAAATACATTGTATTCCAGTATTGATCTCCAGGATCATCCAGGACCCTGTACCCATTACTCTTTGACTATGCAGAGTGTTTTGTACTGGTGGCTGTTAAGGGGCAGTGCAGTGATATTTCAAGAGGGGAGGGCAGATAATTTGTAAATACACTGGATATCTTGAAGATGTTTTTCCTGTGCTGAAACAATTACATGCTAAAGTGAGAAAAGCACAAATAAAGCTGAAATCTTCCCAAACTGGGCAGATTCTGGATCCCACAGCTCAAAGTGACCAATGGAGACATTTTCTGTAATTATATCAGAAAACTCTTTTCAACACTGATGGCTCATTGGATGGGTCAGTGAAGCTTGGGGAGACAAACATACTCACAGTTTGTATGATGAGTGCTAAATCTGAATTGTTTCTGGAATCAGTGGGGAATGATGTCAGCTTGATGGGGAGAAGATAATTTCTCAGTGACAGCAAAGATGAGTGTTTCCCAATAGCAGGCTGTGATCTTTCCCAGAGGTGTCCTTGGGATGGTTCAGGGGAGGCTGTGAAGCATTTTATACTCGTTAGGGAACAGTCAGCTGCCTTTAATTGCTGACTGCACTCAATCCTTCCAGGGCAGAGGTTTGTATATCTATATCAACAGCCAGTAACTATAACCTGTTCTTGTTCCTTTGGCCAACAGGAGTTAACCCACCCTTGGCTAATTAAAGACCAGGAAACCTGGTGGGGGGAGAGAGGATGAAAAGGGACCACACAAATAGAAGTTAGGCTGAAAGAGAGTTAAGCTCTCAGAAAGTTTAAGGATTTTTGTCCCAACCAAGGGGAATGAGAGCACATTGAAAATGTGCCTCTGTCTGCATCCCTCCACCTTGCAACAGAAGTGCAATGTCTTCAGGAGGTTCTGAGGAGTTTTTGTGCTCCCCTCCCAAGCCAATGCCAAGATGAATGCTCAGGGAGGAGCTGCTGTAGTGCTCTGTTTCTGAAAGCTGCCTGACAGCAGTGTTGTTTTCTGATCCATAGGTCCAATGGATGGCATAGCGATAGCATCACTGTCCAGGGAGCTGGAATCCTTCCTCGCCTGCCTGCATGCTGCTTGAACTGATCCCAAGCCTTTGTTTTTGGACTGAAGAAACGTGAAAACCTTTCTCTCCTAATTCATGAGCCAGCAGGATGTGGTCGCCGTGCTTTCAGAACGCCTGCTTGTAGCCGCCTACAAAGGCCAAGTGGAGAATGTGGTGCAGCTTATCAACAGGGGTGCCAAGGTAGCAGTTACCAAGGTAACCAGAGAAAAACGCTTTGCAAAACCCTGGGAACTAATGTAACTCTTCTAGACCATTGTCTGTGAAAATGCCCTCCTAGCTTTACCAATCTAAATGTGACTGAAGTTAGCATTCAGATTTCCTTCAAGTTTGCACTTATAGCTCACACAGATTTGCAATATAGTGCACATCTTGTGTTTGTGCCCTTTGCAGTGGGTGCAGCTGTGATCAACACTGAGTCCTTGCAAACACAGTGACACAGACAGAGGGGAGCAACATTTTTCAAAGTGTGCATTGACTTTTGAACAGTATGTGACATGGTGAATGGAGCAATTCATCACTGTCAAGGGAAGGCTGGTCAGGGCACCCGTCTCCCTGGGTGAGGGGATGGGGAAAAGCCACCTCTTGTGGCAGGGTAAAGGGATGCAGAAACTGCTTCTTGCTGCTGAAGTCTCTTGGTGCAGCAGCCTCACTTACACTCAGCCTCTTCAATGGTTTGTTTTGTGTAGTCCCTTAGTCAGTTCCAAACTTGGGGTTTGCAAATTGTGTTCCCTGTACCTTTGACAAAAATCAAAGTCAAAGGATTTCTGCTTAGATATAAGTGAATTCAAACTGATATTCACCTGTTCCTAATTCTCAACATGTTATATATAATACTCTTAGAAAAGATGAGATGTAATTGCCTGTTGCAGAGAAGGTTTGATCAGCAAAAAACCTTAAAATAGCTAGGTAAGTAAAATCTTTTGACCTGTAACATAAAATTTGGGGCATACTGTTTTGATGAATTGTTGTTTGCCATCGTACCTACTTATATTTGTGTTTCCATATTGGTTTTGAACATTACATATGTATGGAAGCTACTATTTACAGATAGAAAGCACATTTGATAAAAAGAGGAAAAGACAGAATGCTTATCTGTCAGTGACAGTTGTTTTCAGTCCCCTCACAGTGTTTGAGTTGTAGATAATGCTTATTTTGAAAGTTGGAGTGATCCAAGGACAACCTGTGCTTTTAAGTTTTGTTTGCCAAAATAAAACTTGCCAGTGGATATAAAGCCCAGATGTTTTAAGCATGAATACTCCCATGTAGGCAGCTGTTTGCTTCTGTTCTCCAAGCAGCTCTGTAGCTGAAAAACTATTAAAGGTAGTCAGCAATAGACTGGGAAATACTGACTTACACATACCTGAATGGTAGCTCAGGGTTTTGTGGCTGTGTTTTCTTTTGTTTGTTTGTTTTGGGTTTTTTTTTTTAAGATGATGAGCTTTGAGGCTGCTCAGGGACCTCTGCTAATTAGAATAAGAAACAAATAGTGTAGATTTGACTTTGAAACACAAAATCAGGTTAATTTGATATAATGCAGATTTCCTAGATTTGACAAGGTTTTCTTTCCTATATGACATAGGTGGCTCCCTTGCTTTGTTGTTCTGCCCTGTGTGGAAAATTAAAACAAAGCTCATTTAGCAGCAAAATTGTGGCCAGGTGCAAAGTTGTGGTGTTTCTGTGGAGACATGTGCTTGCCAACCATGCTGGAGAGCTGTGAGCTCTGATGCTGTGCCTGTAGCTCACCAGCTACTGCAGCACTGTTGCAATTCTTTCCTAGAAGTTGTGGTCATCCCCGTGGAGCCAGAGAGGGAAGATGACAAAAGCTGTCCCTGTTGTCCTTGTGATGCATCCCAGCACACGGACAGACAGGACAGATGAGCTGCTTGGGTGGCCTGGTGAGAAGCCCTGCTCAGAAGAGATGAAGGCAGATCTGCAGGACTGTGGAGGGGTGCACACAGAGCAGCAGCCAGGGCTGTGTGAATGGGGCCTTTTGGAGGCTCACAGACTCTGACTGCTCCCACACCCTCAGCCACAGAGAGCTGAGCTCAGTGCCAACCAAGAGGCCTGAGACCAACCTGGTGCCCTCACCAGAGCCCATCCATCCAGGCTCTGATGTCCTGTCCAGATGTGCACAGCTGGAGTTTGCATCTGGCTCCCACCCAGCCTGCCAGGTGCACAGGGAGAGCATGTGCAGATTTGCCTATGAAACATTCCCTGGAATAGCTTGGTTTGCTAATCTGATGACACACACAAAGGCTGGAAGGAGAAAGATCTGTTTAAAGTTAAGGTTGTCACAAGAGTGAGGATGTATAAATTAGACTCAAATATATTGAAACTGGAAATCTGGAGGGGCTTTTTAGCAACAGGTTCTTGTGCAGTTTTCTTACAAGCAGAACAATTAGTAGAATTGTTAGAATAGCAGAACAAGCACAAAATAAGAACAACTTTCAGGATAGAGGTTCTTAATTCTAGAATGGAAATTAGATGGCAGAATTTTTGTAGTGCAGATAAATTGAAACCCAGAACCCAGAACCCTCTTCTCCCCCAAGATAAAACTCATTGCACAATGAAGCATAAAAATAAATTTATCCATGTGCCTGCCTTAGATCTGGTTTACCTGTATGTCTTCTGCTTTCATTAGTAGTTTACAGTTTGTTCTGCCTAATTACAAATTACAGGGGTTTGCTTCCAAAAAAGAAAAAAAATGGATTTGGTCATTGTCAGCCAAACTTCCTGCTGAATTCTCTGGGTTTTATTGGAGGAAGATACATGGAGCCAAAGCTTTTTGGAGGGAAAAAGTTCCCCCATCACAGCAGGCTTTAAATGTATTTCTGATCCACATCTGTAAGCACAGACCAATTGTTGTGAATCACACCACAGAGCCACAGATTAAAGTGTTCAGGATCTAGAGATAAATTCGAGTTCTTTATTCAAAAAGAATTAATCAAGCATATCTTAAGAAAATTGAAGGATATTTTCTGTAACAAACCATGTACTAGTAAATCCCTTATAGCTGACTTGTCCAGTTCTGGTTTTGTCCTGTATGTAAGGTCATATGATGTGGTTAATTGTTGCTTCAGTAAGCAACAATTCATCTGCAAAATAGTTTTTCATTTTTGTCACTTCTGGGTAGATGATTTCAGAAGAAAAGAGGAAGAATAGGAGAGAAACAAAATCCAGTGGAGAATGCACACACACATGTCCAGGTGCTGACTTCAGCATTATGGTGAGGATGCACTTATTTCATTTTTACAGCATTACCAGCAAGCATCTCTGCAGGTGGAATCAGTATGGAAATGTGCACCTCCTCTGACTCCAGTGAGGGAGACTCAGGCTCATTCCAGATTTGGGGCCTTTTAAAGTACGCAAAGAGCAGCTGATGGCCTCTAGGTCCCACAGGTGACGGCAGTCTGCCATCAGGCAGCCCACAGTGGGAGGGGGCTGGTGGCACTGCGTGGCACAGGCACTGGGCACTCGTGGTGCTGCTGGACCTCTGCCTCCAGCCATGCGGGGCTGAGGCCCAGGGCAGGTGCTCAGCAGAGGCCTTGTGGCTCTGCCTTTCTCAAAGGGCACCTGCTTGCTCAGGGTGCTCTGTCGCTGCTCTGCCTGATGTGACAGAGATAGTTTCCATTTTTACACATTTTTGTCTTCAAAGGTGTGAAGAAGAAAGCAAGAAAGTTGGTCCCTTCTTTCAGTCTTTTTTTAGAGCTCTCTTTTAGTGAAATTACTGACAGCTGCATCTTTGGCACAACAGCCCTGGGACTTCAGCTGAGCTGATGTGCCTTGCTGTCCTCCCAGGATGCTGTTGTCCTTTTTCTGAGGGTATTGGGTTGGCATGGCCAGGTTTTGGTAGCAGGAAGGGCTACGGGTGTGGTTTCTCTGAGAAGCTGCCAAAAGCTTCCCCAGGTCTGGTAGAGCCCCTGGCAGGTGGCTCCAGGATGGATGTGCTGCTGGTCAAGGCCTGGCCAGTCAGCAATTGTGGTAACTCCTCTGGGATAACGTATTTAAGAAGGAAGAAAAAAATGTTACAGAGAAGATGTAATCATAGCCAGGGAGCAGCATTGAGAACATGTGAGAGGAACAATGCAGACTCCAAGGTCAGTGGTGGAGGGGGAGGAGGATGCTTCAGATGGTGGAGCTGAGTTTCCCTGCAGCCCATGGAGGCAGACCCATCCCAGAGTAGGTGGATGCCTGAAAGATTCCAGTGAATTCCATGAGAAACTTATGCTGGAGCAGGCTCCTGCATTGATCATAGCTATAAAATTGAATTCTGCAGAGAGCGGATGATTATTCAGAAAAAAAAAATGGAAAAGGTAGTGCTTCTGTTTTGATTCAGTAATTGTTTGATTTAACTTCTGAAATTGTCATGTTATGAACACAACATATGGCAACACTTCTGTAATGCTGGGCTACTTTAAGTCAGCTTCAGAGCATGTTGAGTTCTTTAAAGCATTCTCTCTTTTTCTTCTTTTTTAAGCTAAGACAGAAGCAAAAAAATAAATGTTTTGGTGCTTTCACATTTTTGCACTCCTTCAGTTTGAAAAGCTATTTGTGTCTGTTTTAAACAATAAATAAAGATAAATTAAAAGGAACTAACAAACACTTAGGAACTTGCTGAATGCCTGTTGAGGTCAATGAGAAGCTTTCTGCTGCCTTGAGTGAGCAGGTTATTCATGGAGAACAGTCCAACAAATTATCAGTGTGAACAATGCGACAGGACTTGGATTTTGCTTTCAGGCTTTTCCAATAAAATGTGGACAGGCATGTTTTTCATGAGTGCAGAATGGATGAATAAATAACAGTCCTTGTGCACCACAAGAGTAGGGTGAGATGGAGAACTGGATGTACCTCCAGAAAAGCACCTACACATAGCTAAACACAAGGAAGGATCATGGAGCTTACAGTGCGAAGGCCCCCTGTATGGGTTTGCTTGTGGAGTGCATGCACATTGGCAGCAATGCTGGGAGGATTCTGCCTTTAAGTGCTGTGTATTGACAGCTGCCTGTCTATATCTGGAAGCTGGAGAGCAGATTTAATGCAAACAGAACCCTACCCTTGCATTTTATGCTGAATTTCCCGTGGCTGTTTGCAGTGCTTGGCTGTGACCCATGCACCCCACAGCTACAGCAGCGTGTCACAGTGCCCGGGAGCTGCAGCCTCAGCCCCAGTGGGTCCCATTTATTTTGTCAATAAGTCCGTGACACAGGGCCATTTGTATGATTTGTTGCCTGATGGAGCAATTGTTTACATTTGAATAGAAGTCCAAATTGCTGCTTTTTTTTTAACATATGAATGACTGGTTTATTGATTCATTAATCCCAAGTTGCAGCAGTGTCTCATTTGTATTTGTAATAACCCCCAAAACATTACAGTTTATATTTGGCACAGCTCACAAGCTTCTAAGTCAGTAATCTGCATGTAGAAAGTCCCTGGGTTTGGTGTTGTGTCCTTGAAGTGAGCATCTAGGAGACACTCTCATTTGTATGTTTGCTTTCCCTTATATATATTCAGATAAACTCCCTCTTTGCTGCTGCCTTCAGTGCAAAATGTCTTTATGGAGGAGACACACCGAGGGAGTTTTGTCTGTCTGCCTTCATCTCTCTGCCCCCTATGTATTTTGGGTAGGATAAATTGCTGTGAGAGAAAAACTTGGTGGGCTGGTGGTTTGACTTAAAGATGTGAAGGCAAGAGCAGCCCTGACTTGCTGCTGTGGCATGGACTTGTTCAGTGTTTGTCTCCAAGGATTGCTCTGCTCCGAATTTGTCATCACAGCACAAGTGGCACCCAAATTGCCTTGTATCTTCCTCACATTTTGTTCTGGATTGGTGTGTGCATGTGTATGTACATCCATACCTGTGTCTATGTGTATTTGTGGGGGGGATTTGATGTTTTTCCAAGTGTTTGCATTGCCCACACTGGAACAGTGTTCAGCTGTACCACCCATCTCTGCTCTCAGTTTGGTGTTGCTGGGAAGAATATCTGGCACAGCTGGTTCTTGCAGGGTTGTGATTAATCTTGAGATGATCAGTGCTCTTCCAAAAGCCTGAGCCTCTAATCAGTGTATTATGCTGGAATTGATCTTCCTTCCCAGTCTCCTTTCCTGGTTAGTGTCACAGTTTTTGTTCACAGTGTGCCTGTAAAGCAGCAAGAACTCAAGGACTGCATGTGTGCAGAAACTATGGTTACTGAAGGCCTTTCTATAAGGTTTTCCAGTAGGTGAGATGCCTCTCAACTTATAGATAGATTCTAGATAGAGAATCTAAATAAAAATGGATTTAAAATGATCCTGTAGTCTTCCAGCTCAACTATGCCAGCAGGCATCGTTCATGTGGCAATTGCCCAGGAAGGTGTGTTGGTGAGGAAAATATGTCCCTTGTATTCAAATAAACTCCTATTCTGCTTTCATAGCTTGTTTTTAACGCAGTACTTTTAACTGCATGTCAGCATTTTTGTGGTGGTTAGAGCTGGTTATCTTATCAGAACGTTGCCCTGCTGGAATATGCATTCATGTTGTTAATGGTTTCCTTTTAAAGCACATGAGCTGGCTTCAAGGTGGGTTTGTTTGGGATTTTTCCTTCTCCATGCACAGATTGCTATAAATTGTTTTCATGGTGTATTAATAACCTTCCAGGAAGTGAGATAGATGCCTGGATTAGGTGATTTACTTATTGTCATTAAGGAATGTAGAAAGTCAGTTCCCGTAAATCTGAATGTGCTGATTCACAGCACATATTCATAATCCAAACATACTATTCATCGTTGGGAATGATTTGTCAATTTGGTATTTTACAAACATTTTATTTTATTCCTTTTTACCCCCTTTCTTTATATCTTTTTATCCCTCTATTGCCTGGGCATTTTATGCCTCCTGCTGTTGAGTTAGCTGGAACAACAACATACCCCTGGCTCTCCTCCAGGGTGATGGAGAAGGAAGTGTGGTCAGTGCAGCTCAGTGCCTTTCAGTAAAGGGACAGGATTTTGGGGACCTGTGGCCAGATAGAGCCAGAGGCACCCAGGCTGGATGGTGCCCAGGGGCAGTGGTGACAACAAAAACGAGCCCTTCCTGCACCTTTAGCAGGGCTAGAATGGAAGTCTGTCACGGGAATGAACTGCTGCTGCCAGCAGGGGACAAAATTCAGCTTTTGAGAGATCCATGTGCCATAGTGTGAGTGAGGATTTTGTCCTCAGATCTGCCCCTTTAAGTCAGTAAGATAGGACAATTGATCAACACTTAGTGTTTCTGAAGCACAGCACAACTAATCAGGAATGGCACAAACCATTGTGTTGATTCCAACAATGTTTTTCTCTGAAAAGGCCAAGTTAACAAGGCTTTACCAGGCATGTGGGTATGGGGTTTGCTGTATGAATATAATCTCTTCTTGAGCTTGGTTTATGACATACTTGAAGTAGTTTTCTTTGTGAAGAAGTTGCTTAAAACCTTGGAGAGCCAATGGATGCTTTCTGTGTACTTCAAGCCAATAGTCAGACAGCTCTTGAAGTGTTTGCCCCTTCTGTGGTTGATGTGTCAGGGCTGTTTATGCTCCTTTGTAGGATAAATCATTGGGTGGAAAAATAGACAACAGCACCAGTAGTGAAGATTTATAATAAATACAGGTGAAGAATCATGTGACTTTTAATGTGACCCTCACAAAATGCCTAGTGGAGAAACCAGCATTCTTTGGGAAGATACTTTGTGAATTTAGCAATTGCTGGAATCCTGTTTCCTTTACGGCCATTAAATAGTCTGCAGTGAACAGTTTTAGTGTTGGTGTTTCACTGATCTTCAGGTGTTTCACTCACTTTGAGATTTTACTGAGAGAGAGATAAAAATAAGTATTGTCTCAAAAAAAAACTGGCAGATCTTTTGTGAATTGAAGGTAATTGTCATACACACAAAGTCACTTGGAGTGACTACCTGCCTTCCATTCCTTTTCAGGGGTGCATCTGTCATATGCAACTGCCAGTGCATCTGTCAGTAATTCTTATCTCTGTTGCAAAGACAGTGCCCTTTACAATACAAGAATTAGCCAGTTATTGCAACTTGGCTGTACAGAGGGAAGGTGAAAGCAGTTCCATGCTCCAGAGGGACAGAAAGGAAAGGGTCATGAATTCTGCTTAGGCATAGATACAGAGCTGGGTCTGAATTTGTAAGGAAGGACCCTTGTGTGAATATAATATCCCTTTTGTAGAGTGTCAACATTTCAGTGTAAATTGAAATGTTGCAGAAGGTGGAGAAGTTTTCAGCTTTCACAAAACCAAGGTAAAGCCTTTGTCATACTAATACATGTCAGTTGCTACAACTGCAGGTTTCAGACAGTGAGGTACAAAGAGAAGAATGATGAAAAGGAGATAAAACTGTTCTAAACTACCATGCCAAAAGATTAATCTTAAGGTATTATTATTTTCTTCTCATTCATAGCATGGCCGGACCCCCCTGCATCTTGCTGCCTACAAGGGTCATCTCCACGTTGTCCAGGTTTTGTTGAAGGCAGGTTGTGATCTGGATATTCAGGATGATGTAAGTAGACACAACCTTCTAACCTTGGGGTGGAGGGGAAAAGGTGATTTACAAATAACAGTAGACACTCACTTCTTTGAAGTGGGATTAAATGGAAACAAAATCTGTCTCTATTTTCCAATTCGGAGACGTAACCTCTATTAGAGATGCAAAAGAGCGTGGGAAACAATGTAAAATGTGGTGGTTTTCAGTGAATAGCTCAGTGCTCCTGTTCAAGCTGCAGAGCTTTATAAGAGCTCTGCTTGTGCCAGGCTGTGTGAGAGTCATCATCTGCTGCTTCTGGTAAAAATGCTCTAGGAGTTCATTGTGGGAACCCACTGGAGGACATCAGGTAGGGGACACAACCAGTTTTTGGGTTTGCCTGGAGTGGGAGGTGCTTTTTGAGTGGACACATCCCTCAGCATCCAGAGCAGCTGCCCAGAGCACAGTGCTGTGCCATGGGGAGACCATCCTGCTCATGGCACCGTGCTCCATGTGGGAGTGCTCACATCTCTGAGGTGGTGTGTGCTGAGGCATCAGCACAACAGCCAGCTTTGAATTTAGCACATGGTAGTTTGTGTTCATTTGGTAAAACACGTAAGTTGTTGGAATTTCTTGGGTTTCTGTAAGCGTAGTTCTAATCTAGGACTGGGCTTTAAGGCACTTTGGAGTGACATGTAACATGGTTTTAGTTCCCTCACTGCTGAAAAAAGGTATATGCTGAAATGTGCAGTAGCAGTTGAATAACCATGATTTCTTAAAATTAATTGCTGACTTCTGATGGCATGCTGGAAGAAGTTGGTGGTAGGGTTGCTTTTTTCTCCCTGTAATACATAAGGTGGAGAGCCTTCAAAGGCCATAGAGGTCCAAAGGTGTTAGTAGAGCCACCTGTATGACTGGTAGAAGGACACAGGAAATGTCTAGGTGCCTTTTAAAAATGCCTTTGGGCATTTGTTTGCATCTAGAGAGTTAAAAGTCTGTAGCATCTGGAAAACTGGTTTCTTTTTCTGCTGCTGAGTAGCAGATTGCCTGGGAGATGTGAGCAGTCTGCCTGACGAACTTGGGACTGGGGTACTGATGTGGCCAGCTTTCTGCAGGGAAACTTGTTTTTCTAGGAAGAAAATTTGCTCCCTGTGTTCTTTATTCTTTCCCTGTGCCCATCTGTGAAATGGAGCAGATTTGCAAGTGCAATGGGACAATCAGATGTATCAGATGGTTCAGATGTATCCTGGGTATGCTTTTTCACTTCTCCCAGCAGAAAGGGTTCATTAGGTATTTAAGACAAAATTGCAGACACTTTAAAAATAGAGCCAGTTTTCCTGAGAAAAGAAAACTGTTGCTTTAAGAAAGCAAGAGCTTCCACTGATTTGCTCAAATTGAGTGTCTGTGGAAACTGTTTTTTGAATAAGTCTGGTTCATTTGTTTTAATCATCTAGGAATAAAGTCTGTGCTGTTTATATGTAAATGTGATAGCCATGTTAGAAAAACAGTAAATCAGTGTTTAGCATAATTTCAGTTCAGTGAAGAGTCCTGCACTTGTAGAATTACTCAGCTCATAGAAGACTTACTGTCTTATGAGCTTAGGGGCTTTGTTCCCAATTGGATACTACTTCTACATGTGGTGATTAATATGGGCAGAGTAGATGCATATTGGATTCATAGATACTATTTCTTTAAAATATATTTTGATGTGTACCTCTGTATTCAGGTGTAGTAGTAGTTTGGTTGGGATTGAGGAGAGCCTCAGGAGTTTCTGAATTTCAAAGGATGTGTTTGGCTTTGTCTTGTCGAAGGAGGAAGTCTAAAACTCCAAATGAAGATTTTTGCTTGCAATAGGTATTAACTAAAATATTTCTGCTTTCCTTTTAAATAGGTCTTCAAAGAAGGTTCTCTGCTTATGGCTTCTCCTTGTATAACTAATTTTTACAATTTATGCCCCACAGAATGTTTGTAGTGTCTTTTAGTTGCAATCTCTTGATTATGCCTTCAGTCACTTTTACTGTCTGCTTATGTGGCAGTGAAGGCATCTTAGTCTCAAGTTTTGATTAACATCTGTATGTTTCCTTGCTGTTTTCCAGGAATGTGGATTTAGGTTCAGATATGAAAACACCTGTAAGAGTGGGGAGTATTGTATTCAATTGAAATGCGGATTATTTTTTTAATTTTGGTCTATGGCATTGTTGTGATAGCACAAAAAAATCCAAAATTATCACCTAAATTTTATTTTTCAAAGTAACAAGAGAAACATAAATGCTTCATTTTTGAGTTTTGATCAAATTCAAGAACAAGTTTTAATTTGCCAGATGATAAGCAGAAACTTAAAAACTGCTAATTGTTTCAGAGAGATTAAAATGCTCCCTTTCATGTTCTACAGATATATTCCCTAAACACAGTAAGAGCCTTAAGAATTAGTTGAAGAATGACCTCCAGTGGCCTGGAGTGGGATTATTATGAATTTCAGCCGGTGGAGTCCAGCTCTGTAGAATATGCCACTCCAGGAGCTGACTCCTTCCTTCTCCCTGCCAATACTGCCAGCTCCTACTGGGATCCCAGTGCCATCTCTGAGTGGTCAATGAGTGTCCACACAGCACACGCCTCAGGAATAGTACAGGAGAAAATTGTCCCGGTGAAGGAAATCAAGGATGAAAAAAATAAGAGAAACCAGAAGAGAAGGGCTAGGAAGGAACCTAGAAGATCAGAAAGAGAGAAGGAGGTTAGAGCTCTTGTGCATCCCCCCTGCGCTGCGCCTGCCCGGTCGCGGTGCATGCTGCAAGCCCCGGTGCAGGCCGAGCTCCCTCTGCGCTGCATGGCTGCATGGCTGCTTGGTGCTCTGTGCTCTGCATCCTCTCCTGCCCTGCCTGCACCCCTGAGAATAGCTGGGAAAGCAAGATCAGTTAAAACAAAGGGCAAAGGTCCCGAAACTTCCCTTCTGGAAGCTCCAGTTTAAGAAGCAGAAAATTAGTTTCAAATGGAACAATAGCCCAGGGTTCATAATAATTTCTAGCTGAATGGGAATGTGCAAAGTGGCTTATTCCTGTGGTCCCATTTCATTTAGGCTGTAATTTGTTTTGTTCATGATTATTTTTCATGCCTTGATCACTTCTGCTGGTCATGCATCATCATTTATTGTGCAAGAATGAAATTGTTCTTAACTGCGTATCACGACTGCCTCTCTGTAGCAAAAGAGGAGAGAGCAGCACAGAGACACTGAGAAACCTGAGAGCATATTCAGTTCCCTTTGTGTACAGCTGCTTCAGGATATCCACATATGCTTGTAGGCTCCTGCGAGTATTTAACACTTGGTTGTATTTTAACTTTAGAATATTTTGATTCTTCTACTGTGAATGTAGTGACTTGATTTTATATTATATGACCTTACACGTGCTGTTCAGCACTTTGTATCAGGGATTGAAGCCATGAGTTTTTTCTGGTTGTTTTGGTTGTTTATTTTTTGGTTGGCCAAAGTTGTGGATGCTCTATCCCTGGAAGTGTGCAAGGCCAGGCTGGATGGGGCAACCTGGTCTAGAGGAAGGTGTATCTGCTTATGGGAAGGGAGTTGGATATTTAGGGTCCCTTCCAACCCAAACCATTCTATGTTTCTGTGATTTTGGTGCAATTCTCCAGCAGCAAGATAGTCTGTTGATTTCTGCAAACATAGAAGTGAGGAGGCAAAGTGTCACATGGGAGAAGGGCTTTAAAGGAGATTGTACAACTGTTGGATGCTCTGGAGAACAGGAATGGGCAGGAAAAAATGTGGTTATAGTTTGGGTTTTTTTAAATCAGAGAAAGGAAAAATTAACATTTACTCAAACTAATGTAAACCAAATCTCACTCATTTGGGTCTGTAGAGTCTGTAAGAGAGACTCCAGTAATTCAGGAGAGCTGTCAGAAGTCTACCTGAGACTGTATTGGAAGTCACTTTGTTGTTTCGTTCCTTCCCTTGGGGTAAACTTCAGATGTAAATAGATACCTGCCCTATTTCCAAGTGCCTGGTCCCAGTGGTTACATCCACTGTTTTAGGATAGCACATGAGGAAGCTCAGGGAAATAGTTGCAAACATCAGGACACTGAGCAAATGCCAACAGCCATGCCAACAGAACAGTGCTAAAGAAAGGGTAATGCCAGAGTCCATGAGGAAAAATCAAGATTTAGGTGTCTGCCTTTCTTCAGGACTCGCAGCCTGTAAGCCTCTCCTGAAAGCAGGTGTTTAAGCCCTCTGTAAAGAGCCTGGTTCCCCTCTCTTGAAATGTACCTGCTGCTGTGCAGGAGCCCTGTTGCAGGTAGAGCTCTCAGATGTGCAGTTCTGCATCCTCTGCATCAGTGCATGCAGATTTCTATCCCAGTCTCCAAGTGTCAGCCTCTTACTATCCCAATGAATACCAAGATTTTTTCCTAAAACTGGAGAACTTTCAACACTGCAGTGCTGCCAGGGCAAGACAAAGTGAGTGAGCACTGCTATCTCTGGGCTACTGTGGAAAAACCAGTGGCCACTTCCTTCTCTGGCTTTATTTTGGAGAGTGGTGTCTGTACCTGCAACATGCCTGGATCTGCTTCCATCAGGTGTGTGGCAAGAGCACTCACAGGGCCAGAGAGAGCAGGGGAGCTGCCTGCACTGGGGCTGTGCAGGGCCAGGGTGTGCTGTGCCACCCTGATGCAGTGCCCTGTACCTGCCTTGCAAGCTGACATGTCCAGGGCATGGACATCTTGGAGTGGAATTCCCTGAGTTTGGGCTGCCTTCAGGGCTAGGCAGAGTCTGAGGAAGGGGGTTTAAGATTCACCAGTGTAGACCTTAGTGCCTTACTTCTGACGAGCCTCACTTAAGGCTTTTTGGCTTTGGGCCCACATCTGCATTTGAGCAGACTGTTGTTTCTGTCAAGGTCATGTTTCTGTGACACGGTTCTGGAATTGTCTCTCTTCATTGCTACTGATCTGCAGTCTGTTCCTAAGGCATAAATCTCTTGGAAACAGAATCATAAATTGTGCCCAACATAATAGTCTGGACGGTTAATACGCATTTACCGATGTAATTGCTCTCTGAGCCTCTGGAACAGACCCCTAATGCTTTGCTAAAGACAGAATTGTAGTGAGTGCTTCCAGAGACAATTATTTCAGTAATTAATAAAAGGTACACAAGTCTGTGATTACACTGCCTGAAAATTCATGCTGTGAAAAAACCACAACTCATCCGTTTCCTTGGACTCTGTGAAAGGCAAGGCAGGGATTTGCTCCACTGCTGATGGGAAGGGAAGGCAGGTTAGAGTGCAGTGGTGCAGGCACTGTTATTTATAGGATGGCTGTGCTCTCCATGGCTGGGTTGCTCAGTGGCTGTCACACAGAAGCCATCACAACCTGGTGGTTCAGCTTCCACAGCACTTTAAGGTGACTGTTTGTGCTGAGGTGTAAGGGAACAGTGGACCAGGTGCTGCCCAGTCCTGCTGGCTGAGGGATCTGGTGCTGGCAGGGACAGACCCTCACCAGGACAATGATGCGTGCTCTCTCTTCACTGGGAGGTGCCTCAGTTGGTGAAACAAGATTTGAGCTATCCTTTGACACTCCCTGTTACATGGATGAGGTGCTCATTTTGTCCAGTCAGGGTGTGGGTTGGACCTTACTCTTGGCTGGTCGTGTAGGGAAGGTGTCATAACCAAAGCTCATACCTTGGGCAGGAGGCACTTGAGCCTGCCATTTGCAGAACTTGTGTCCCTTCACCTACGTCTATTTTAGGGACCAGAATGTATTTTGGGACAAAGCTTAGGCATGGCTGGAGCTGTCCCAGTGCTGCTCTGCATCCCCAGTGTATGGCCCCAGTATACGGGTTGGAATTACCAAGACCTGGTCTTGCAGCAGTGAGGTGTGAAGCCCACTTTCCAAACAGACAAATGTTTGTATAAAATTTAAATGAATTAATTTAAATGAGATGCTGTTAGAAGTAGCTGTCATATCAACAAAGCCCCAAAAGCTGAATGTTCTTTGGCCTCACTGCACTTACTGTGATGTGGGGACAGGAACAGCCTTTATTTAAACTGTCCCAGTAGGAAGATCCTTAATTACAAACCAAATCCTGTACAATCCATTTCTGCCCCAAATTTGCCTTCTCCACAGTAATTTTCCCAAATGGAAAGCGGCAGGAACCAATCATTTACTGTTCAGATTCCATCCACTGCAATGGCAGTTGCCATTTTGTTTTAGTCTGTTTTATAATATCTTCTGTGGATTTGCTGGTACATCAATACCACTTGGCAGGGGTGGGTTGGCAGATTACTTTCCACCTCATGATAGTCAGATAAAATGATTTTTGCACTGTCCCACATGACTCACTACTGCAGTAATAGTAGCTGTGCCATTATCAAAAATCAGATATAAAATTCTTCCTTAGTTTGCTGGTGAGCAAATTTCCATGTAGTCATAGTAACCAGTAACTATTTGACATTTGTTCTTGTGAGATGGTATAATTTGGACATTTTCCATAACATTTTGGTTGTCTTTGAATTTGGAACAAATACATAAGTTCAGAGCACTTGCCATGCTGTCAATTTTCCAATTCTTTTTGTTTCCACTTCCTGGAAGCTTTACTGCCTTTGCTGAAATCCTCTGAAATATATTTCCAGTCACAAGAACAAATGTCAAAATACCTAACCTCTAGAAACAACAACAAAAAATAGATAGGAGGCTTTTAAAAAGCACCTTCAACACTATTTTTTAAAATCAACTTCATTATTATAAGCCAATTTAATGATTTATTGGTAGGGATTACTGAAAGGTTGTGGTTGGCAATGCTCATTTTTTTATAGATTAATAACTATTTTGTTGTCTTTAGCACAAAAGAACCCCACCAAGAGCAATTTTTAAGTCAGCTGCTAATTGCCTTTGAGAACAAATTGTTCAAATAAGCCAGTTATCTAAAGACTTGGACACTCTAGAATAAAAAATAAAGAAATTCCTCTGATTTCAGTATTTAATATAATATGCTATTATCTGATGAAGAATTTTACCAGAGAAATTTTGTGTCTATTTAGGACTTGATTTCCTGCAAGCTTTTTTAGGACACATGGCATATCTCTGCGCTGCGTGTGTTTGTGGTGACCATCACCTAGATAAGCAGAAATGGATTGGATTCCAAATCTGTTTATTAATCCCAAACAAGTCTGTGTGCAGCTTTGAAGCCTGTCTCTGTTCCTGGATTAAGGCTGTGCTTTGGCATTCCTGGTTCAAAGCAACTTCAAAGGAAAGCCAAAACCAGTTGTTGTGGCAGCAGTGGAGCTACCTCATTTTCCCACTGATCCCTGTTTTACATCCCTACACATCGCTTCACAAATCCTTCTCTTGCCTCTCTTTTATCAGGTTCTACCAACATGCACATAAAAACATAGATAATCCCTGATGGGCAAGGACAATGGTTTAAGTTTCCTGAGTCTTCACTTTCTGGAAGGATTCTGGAAACTGACCTTGGGCTCTCTAGCTCAGCAAATGGGTTCAGCAGTTGTTAGAGAGGAGATAGATGGGCAGTCAGACCAGATGACCACATCAGGACAGTTTATTTTGGAAACCTTGAAGGAAATAAACTGATGTAGGAGACTTCCTTGCTGCTGTTACATGGCAAGTCAAAGAGAAAGGAAAGTCATTTGGACCTCAAGATGGCTCAGTTGCTCGAGTGGAACAAGTGGATGGTCCTGCAGTTGTGGCTCTCATGGTAAAGTTGCCTCCACTCTTAGCAGTAATTGGTAAATTCATCAGAGGTGCTGAAGAGACCAATCTCATCTCGTGCTCCTTATCCTAAGCAGGGCTGATGGAGCAATCAGAGCCAGAGCAGGAGAGCCTTATCCAGTTAGTGTAAGTCCTGGAGGATCATGATGATGAATTACGACAGCCTGTAATTCCCTTTAGTTCCCTACAGACACTGATGACTGTTGGACACGTAGAGCCAAATGTATCCAATTCACTGCCTTCTGACACTGCCATGTTTTTGGAATGCTTCAGCACTGTATATGGGATTGTGATGACTTGCAAACTTCTGTAAATGGTTTGTAGCTCTGATACTTGCAATAACTTTATTAATCTTGGAAACTTCTATGGTAGTTGTTTAGGGGACTGTTTTCAAAGCAGCTTGGATTTAATCAGTATGTGTGTCAAAGATGCAGCCCCTGTGTGTGTTGTCTGCATTTGCATTAAGTCAAAATGAGGTGGGAATTGTACCAATTACAAATGTGCTTCTTTTTGCAGGGTGACCAGACAGCACTGCACCGGGCTGCTGTTGTAGGGAACACTGATATAATAGCAACTCTCATTCAAGAGGGCTGTGCTTTGGACAGACAAGACAAGGTAACAAACAAAACAAAAGCCCTGTGGAATGGCAGCTTGGGCAGTCAGTAATGTTAAGGTCTCAGAGAGAAAGTTTATACTTCTTAGTAAGTGTCTGATGCTTCAGGAGTAATTGGAACAATTACATTGGAAAAAAAAACTGTACCATCTCTTTAATACAAATTACTGGTTTAGTTATGCTTCTATATTAGGCTGATAGTTTTTGGTCTAAGAGTCTGTTCTCAGCTCATTAAGGGATGAATTAAAGGAATGTACAGCCATATTACACCCTACGCAAAAGGCTGCACAGTTCCCATGATTATCCCAGAAACTTGAGAATCCCAGACTGTAAGTTTAATTTAGGAGTAAATAGAACTAATTTCAAGTTCCAGACAAATAGCAATGTTTTTACCCTCTTATAAGAATAAGATAGAAAATAAGCTAGTAGGAAATGAAAATACTTTTAAGAGAGTACGTTGGTTATACAGCCCTTAACATTCTGCTCTTGTGTGTGTGCTCCTCAGGATGGGAACACTGCTCTTCATGAGGCTTGTTGGCATGGATTCAGTCAGTCTGCCAAAGTGCTTGTTAAAGCAGGAGCCAACGTTCTTGCCAAGAACAAGGTGAGACCCATGCAGGAGGAGCTTTCAGTTCTGGTCTAAGGTGGCTGATTCTCAGAACTGGGGATTTCTGGCCATGCCATTTCTCAGCAGGTGCGGGGCCAGCTCTTAGTGGGACTTTTTTCTTCTTTTTCTTTTCATTTATCATGCCTGGATGGTTCATCCACAGGCATTAGGAAATTCATATTTTGACAGCTGACGCAGGAGAAACTCAATAACGCGTTGAATGATACATTAATTACAGCTGAGGAACAGTGCCATTCCTGTGGAAATCTCCATGGTGCTCTAATTTATACTGAGGAGATTCATTGTGATTGGTGTGATTTAAAATGGAAATAAATTGTTCTAATAAGAAAAAGGTACTGAAAATCTGTTTTTTTTCCAGAAATTAAACAGCCAAAGGAATGTAAGCCACAGGGGGAAACAAAAAAAAAAGTGTCTTTTGTTACTAAGTTTTTCCTAATATATTAGCATAGTGTCTTTCCAGAATTTTGTAATGAACCTGGATTATCTTCCTTTTGATATTTATAATACCTTGAGAGCCATTTAGAGGAAAGAATAACAAAGTAAAGGGTTTTAGTTCCACTCTAATTGTTATAACTGAGGGGCACTTCAATTCAGTAATTCAGAAGTTAATGGAATAGTCCAGGAAATGGTGGTAGCAGCCCATGGTGTGAGCAGAGTCAGGGCTTGGACAGCTGTGCTGCTGGGTTGGTGAGATCACAGTGCCCTGCATGACAGGGAGAGGGCTTTGGGAGTGCTTTAGGGGATCTCTGAGCATTTTTGGTACATGTGTCTCTAAAACAACAACTGAAACAGGGCTGGGAAAGAAAGGAGACAGCTGGTCAAAGCCTAAGGTTTAGAGTAAAAAGGCATGATGCTTGGGCACAGTGTTTCTGTATGTGCATGAGTGTATAGGCACTATAGAAGCATATATTTGCACAGTTGGGATGACTGTGGTCTGCAATTCCATCGTCTTCGATATTGTTTTATGTGTATTCCTTCTTTTGTATTACTTCAACTACCAATTTTTATTTACTGTAATTACTTTTGCTGTAATGTCCACCTAGATTTGTATCAAGGATATTTTAGAAAACTTCTCTCATGCTTGACTGTAAGCTTGTGAACCATTTTGCTGCTGTCCCTGGATACGCCTTTCTGTGTATACCCATACACTTCTGTACAAAGGTGTGGGCTTGAGATGCAAGTCTGATTATCCTGCATGCTTGGGTGCCTCAGAGAATTAGAAGATTTAACTTACAATCCAGTTTATGTCAGCTGGAGGCAGCCTCTCTGGGAAAGTATGTGCACAACAGCTCAGCAGGGTTGATGGCTGAAATATGACTGGCAAACTTAAATACTGCCTGAGCAGCTCCTGTGCTAGTCTTTGATGTCTTGCCCTTTGCATTTTACTCTTTGGGTGGTTTTTAATGGACAAGATATATTGTCTGGAGCTGCTGAAAAATGTGGGAATCATGCATGCTTGCACCTGCTTTTACCTTTGTTTTCAGGAAAAATTAAGAGCTTAAGTCCACTTAATCCCAAAATGGTTTCTGTTCTGTCAGCTTTTTGTGTTACTGATGACAAGGCATTATCATTCTGTCAGCTTTTCTGGCAGCCAGGGTTGAGTGCCATGGGCAGGAGCATCCCACAGGCTGTTCACTTACACCTGGGTGTTGTGTGGTTTTGGATGGATGGGACAGATATGGGCTGCTAGATTTGCCAAACCTGTGAAGCACCAGAAGATGGGAAGAATTTGACACTGTGTTTTGGGTAGCTGTATTTCTCCTGCACCATAGTCACCCTGGAGAAGCAGTTTATTTTCATTTACGTTGGCTTAATAAAACCTTTTCTGCTTTGACAGATCATCCAGTGAGATCAGTCGTAGATCCTTATTTTTAGATTCTTCATCAGTCTGTACATTTCAGTGAAGATTCCCAGACTGGTACAGCTTGGAGCTTCTCTCCCTCTCAGAAGTTGGTGAGAGATTTGTCACCCCACGGGAGATGAGGCAGATGAGCCACTCTGAGCTCTGACCTTGGCAATGCCATTCTCCCAGAACTGAAGTCCTCACCTGCTGCACAGGATCTCTGCCTTCCCACCAGGGCCAACCTGCCAAACACCAAATGATAAAGGCATTGCAGAGGCTTTTCAGAGATAAACCTGTGAGGGGAAAAATTGACACTTAAACACAATTTAGCTGAGAAGAGAAATGTTCGTGTCTGCCACAGCTTAGAGGCTGACACACATATTCAGGTCTATAATATGGAAGTGAAGACCTAAGACCACATCTAAGAGTTGGCTTTTGTAATTCAAACCCTGCAGCTTTGATCTGTGTCTTGAAAGTAAGGCGGGCAAATCAAAGGACAAAATCGAGGTGAACAGACAGCGTAGTAAGCCTGGTAAACCTTTTTACGTGAGCTAATTTAATTTCTAGCTCCCAAGAGCCAAAAACCCTGAATGTTTTCAGACCAACAAAAACCAAATGATGCCAGAAAAACTTGTCAGACCAATAAAATAATTCACTGTGTTCGAAAGATAATACAGAAGCCAGCACTTCTTTGATTTCTGTCCACTTCTGCACATTTTCTTCTTTGAGGAACCATAGCATGTGATTCTCTGCAGCTTGGGTGGCTTTTTGCCCTCGCTTCCCATCTTGGCTGGAGACTGGTGTGCCTTCTGAACAAAGCTTCTTGGTAGCCTAAAATCTGTATCCTGCCCAGTGAGAGCACCTGCAGACCCAGCCAGAGTTCAAGCTGGTTTGCATTACAATTGTAAGGAGACAGGAGTTGTGACAGGAGTCTGCTCAATACCCTGCAACATTTGTGGCTGGGATCAAAGATCCCATACCATGGCAATTTGGTTTTTTGTGTCTGTGCGTGGGGGAAACCCAAACCGCAAGAATTACAGTTCTTTAAATTAAGTATTGAATACTGCTGTTTGAGACTAATAAACGAGACAGTTTCTAGAGTTCTTTCTTCTTGTAAACAGATTTGACCAATGCAGATATCATTATACTGTCCTATTTGTGCCTTTATTATATCCCAGGTAAGCCATTGAAGCAGAGATTTCAGTCTCTGGGTTCCTTCATCTCATATCTTTGGGAAAACAACAGCTTCCCACCCTTGATTGGATCTTCTTTAGCAAAGATCTGTGAGGGTTTATATTTTAATGCTTATGTGCAATATCTAAATATGGCTTTTATATTTTCCTGTATTTCTCTAAGGCAGGTAACACACCTCTTCACCTGGCTTGCCAGAATAGCCATTCCCAGAGTACTCGTGTTTTGTTACTTGGAGGATCTCGAGCAGACCTCAAAAATAATGTGAGTTTTGGAAATAACATTTTTGTGTGACTTTGTTTTAGGTATATTGCTTTAACTTGTAGAAATACTCAGAAAGGCTTTAAGCAATGATTTTTATTATAAATTATATTGAAAAAGCCCCACTACTCAACCATTGTATACACCATGCGCAGGAATGTTTTTGGTAGGATTGAGAGTTGCACTACTTGTACCCATCTCTTGAGCAAGGAGAGAAGGAACCAAATGGGGTTTTGCTGTTGCACAGACAATGGTGAAAGGCTTCAGATCTGCAGATCTTATATACCATGTGTCTATCTCTCAAATTACTAGATTCAAGGTGGCTTCAGTTTCAGACAGCTTTCCTCCTATTTTATAATGATTCTGCCATGATGAAGAAAAAAAACAATCTACAAAAGGAAGCCAGATATTTTTGCCCAGCTTGATAACTTGGTAACAAAGCAGGCAGAGAAATGGAAACCTGTGGGATTTTGTCAGCTCCTGGGCTCAGCTGCACAAGTGCCACCCTTCATGGGAATGCTGCTCTGGCTGCCACTCATGTTTTCTACATTATGTGGAATCCTAAGTTGAGATTCCAAATTGCACTGGGTTGTGGTTCAGAAGAACAGATTTAATGGGAAAATACAACTAACTCCGGGTTTGTAGTACCAGTAAAATAGCATTTTATTTTTTCAGTATTTCCCATCAGTGGTTAAAGAATTCATGCTCTCACCTCTCCTGACCCCAGCTCTTGCTAAACTTTCCCACCCATGATAGCAGATTTTGTACTGCAGAGAAGACAGCATTGCTGTTCTGTGGAGGTGTGTGGTGTTTACTGCTCTTTCTGATTTAATAGGATTATTTCATCCCTGAACATCATGATGAGTACAGGCTTTCTCACAGTGATTACATGCTCAGAGCTTTGTTTCTGTTTGCAGGCAGGAGATACCTGTCTGCATGTGGCTGCTCGTTATAATCACTTGCCCATCATTAGGGTGCTGCTCAGTGCTTTCTGTTCTGTCCATGAAAAGAACCAGGTCAGTGCATGAACCTCATTGTGACTCTGTGCCCTTTGCATATGGCCAGTTGTTGGGAAGAGGAATTCCTGCCCAAGCAATCCTGCTTCACTCTGTGTGTTCCACTGTACCACCAAATGCCTAAGCTTTTAAGAATAGCCTTAAAGTAATGGCATATCAGTGGTTTATTATTTTGCCATCACATTTGCATTATTTCTTTAAAGCATTGCTTATTTATGAGGTGATTTAATGATCTTATAGCCATTACAGAGACATTGTGAAGCACAACTCACTGACATTTAGATGCTACTAAAGTGCAAATTCTTCTGGAATACTTTGCTGCATTTTGCAGTAGGGGGAATTAAGGGGACATAAAAGTGAAGACAAAGCATGCTCTAAATTCAAAGTAATGATCAGTCCAGCCTAGGATTAATCATCCATAGTTGTTTTATAGGGAAGTAACTGATTGCTGTACCTACAGCATAGCATAATTGGGTAGTAGAAGGGAATGAAATTGGTACATTAAAACGTTTTAAATCTGCTACATAAACATATTATGTGGTGCTTAACCATGTTTTCTCATGTTCCTGGGAAATCTTATATGTGTAATTGAGGATCATAAAGATGTTTTCTGAACCGTACATTTAATGTTCTTTTTTCATTATGAGATATTACAGCAAACAAAATAGGTTTCAGCATGTGAAATTTACTATGTAATTTTATTTGGAAATGAGTTTTTTAACTTGCAAAATGAGCTACTGAATATTAAGATGGACTGGTGTGAACCTAGCCTAGAGAGACATCCCTTTCCCTCATTCCCCAGCACTACCTGAAGTTATTCCATATTTGCCCATAGAATGATTTGATTTAGGAGTACACCTCATCTAAGTCAGCAACAGGCACTAGTCCTGAGGAAGTCTAATTTTATGAAGGCCAAATGCAAGACCAGGGGTACAGGAAGGCATTGTACACACGTGTCCAGTCCCACTTGAACAGTTGCTGGCTCTGTTACCAGTGCCCAAATCTGATCCCGGCTGTCTTCACCTCACTGCACCAGGACAAGGGCAGGGCAGTGTGTTAGTGCTGGACCCAGACTGCCTCCTGGCTCTGATCCAAAGCCTGTTCTTCCTGAGGAAACCTGTGAGGAGCATGCCAACCACCTCACTGCCAGTACTTACCTGAGTATTCCTGAGTAATGTGATACATCACCACCTGCACACCAAATAATCAAACCTGAGGGGAAAAAAAGGAAGAGAAGGTTGTTGTAGGAAAACTTGTTCTACCCTCAGATGTCGTATCCATTTACTGGAGGTAGAGCTGGGCTGTCTCCAAGCTGCGTCATGTGTCACTTGGTTTAGATAAATCAGATCACCAGCGCCCCAGCTGCATTTCTCAAACCCAGGCTGAGGTAGCTCTTTGCCCCCTCCTGTCATCCTCCTCCCCAGTCAGTCATTTTTTATTGACCAGGCCTTATTTAAGCTTAATTGTTGCATCAGCAAGTGTAGGTTATTTTCCATCTCTGAGCATCTTTTAGGAAGGTGTCAATTCTGTAGGATGAGACCCAAGGACTAGTGTCACAAGTTTGTTTTCTGCTTTCTGACTTGCAGGCAGGGGATACTGCACTCCATGTAGCTGCTGCTCTAAATCACAAGAAGGTGGTGAAGCTCTTGCTGGAGGCAGGGGCTGATGCATCCGTTGTCAACAATGTAAGCAGGACACAGAGTTTCTCTGGTATTTTATGTTGATGTAGAGTCTCTTCAACATTCCTCATTGGTTGTGAAGTGTTGAATTATATCTGGGTAAATTAATGCAATTAGTCACTTTACTCTTGTGCAGAGAGTATATACTGAACTTGGTTGGAGAAATTTCATGTTTCCAGTAGCTTGTTTTGAATGAAATGCTGTTTTCTTTTTTCTCTCAGGCAGGCCAGACCCCTCTAGAGGTTGCCAGACAGCACAATAACCCCGAGGTAGCGCTCCTGCTCACTAAAGCGTCACAGGTACATTACACATCTCTCCCCAACACACACATACACGTGGAGCTGAGGCCACTTAATCTTGGGAGGCTGCATCCTCTGCTCCTTGCCTTCTGCTGTGAAATGTTCCTACATTTCTGCTGGCATTGTGGGCTGGGCTCAGGTCTATTGACATAGAGCCTTTCACTCCCCAAAGTGAGCAAGGTGTGCAGATGAAGCTAGCATGAAGTGCTGTCAAATGTCGCTGTGTCCTGACTGGCAAGGGGTGGCACTTTTTCAGAGGCACTTGTTCCCTGCAGTGGCCCAGGGGTTAGAAAGTTGCCCTGTACCCTGAAGCCCCTGAGTTGTGTCTCTGCTGCCTGCCTCTGACATATCCCATCCCCAGAAGGGTGGTTGGCACTGGAGGATGCTTTGCAACAGGGACAAAATGTTTATGGCTTGTGTATACTTTGCAGCTGTGTGTGAAATGCTGCAATGCTCTTCAGGCCAGAAGGCAGGAGGGCATGAGACCAGGCACAATCCTTGCCCTCCTCCTTGCCACCTCTGCACGAAAAGGGCTGGGCTTGGCTTGGGAACCAGCCCAAGGACATCAGAGGAGGTGCTTAACCTTCTAGGGGACAGCAGAGTGCCCCAAGAGACTGAGCTCAGTGCTGGTGTGTTTTCACAGCCATGAACACCCACCCACGTTGCTTGGCTCATCAGTGTCCATCTGGCAGTGCACTCTCCTTTATCTGTTGCCTTTCAGAAAAGGAAAAGGTCTGCTCTGTTACTTGTCTTCTGTAGTAGGAAAGAGCATGACATCACTGAGTAACAGTGTGGTCTGTCTTCAGGTCTCGCGTTTTAACCGTGGGAGAAGCCTGAGGAAGAAGAGAGAGAGACTGAAGGAGGAAAGGAGGGCCCAGTCGGTGCCACGGGATGAAGTGGTGCAGAGCAAGGTACAGCCTGGCATTACCAGCTGGATCTGCTGTAAGGGGGGACTGTCACCAACACCCATTAAGGACACAGTCTGTGGAGCCATCGCTGTGCATGGCCCCAGCAGCTGCCCCAGGCAGTTTGTTATGCTCTGCTGCTAAAGCATTTCCCACTCACATGTGCAGAGCAGCTTAAAGCTGGGCAGTCGAAGAAGAGGCTCCTTTTCCCCATCTCTTCAACTGCTCTGAACTCCCTGTCTTTGCTTCAAGCAGGGCAGTGTCTCAGCTGCTGATGACACACCAAGCAGCGACCAGCCCCCAGAAAGGAAGAACAATCTGAAGGATAAACCCCGGTCAGCCTCACCAGATCCCAAAGGGAAGAAGAGCAAAAAGAAAAAGCCAAAGGAAAAGGTAAAAGTAGATTTAAAACAACTGAGAGAAAGAAGGGATAGCTGTTCAGAAGTGGTGTGGGTCCCTTTGGTGTGTTGGGGCAGCAGCCCCACCATGCTCCTGGGGCAGAGATAATCTTCAGATAAAAGTAATTTTTGCTGTAATTGTCACAGTAAATTTGTCCCATTCCCACCAGGAATAGTTTACCAAGGGGCTCATATAGGCAAAACACTGTGTGTATGTTATGCAGGTTTCAGCACTCTCAGACCCCATCTCCCCAGCTGACCAGCAGGCAGTCCCTCAGCCCCAGAAGAACGCGCCCAAGCGCAGGAGCAAACACCACTGCCCCTCTCCACCCCCTCCCCACGAGGTGCGAGCCTACCAGCTCTACACGCTGTACCGAGGCAAGGACGGCAAGGTGATGCAGGTGAGCCACTGCCCTCACACAGGGACACACTGCAGGGAGCCTGGGCAGCTGGGACACAGGTAATGGGCAGAAAATATGCTCCACTAACTGCACTCTCAGGGGCAGGAAATCATGCCTTGGGATTGGTTTTCCTTGCTTAGGCTTCCAGCTGCATTTTGGCCTGAAGTCTGGTAAACAATAAGCTGGTTTTGTGCCTGTTAAAGAAGACGTACTTAAGTAGTTTTGATCTGCAAAGATAAGGGGTGATTGGAAATGACATGAGAACTTTCATTATATACTTTGGAACATTAAGAGCTCTGACAGGAGAAAGAAAATTTCCAAGGAAAAGCAGTGTGTGAGAATCCAAAGCTTACTGCTTATTACTCAGCCAAGAGGCCGAGTAATCTCAATAGATTTTGTTCCAGTTCTTTTTGGGTTTTGCAACATGTCTTCGGGTATTCTATATTTACTGGGGGCAGGACTTCTGTAGAAACTGGAAAACAAATAAACCTGGAGCTAACAGGCCACGTGCATTTATTCCAGTTTGGAGAATACTATTTTAGTCACTTTATTATGCAATAAATTACCAGTAGACATTTATAAGAAAGCATAAGAACAGTCATTAAATTATCCTGTAGACACTGTACTCCTGGAAGGTCTATCCTTTCATTTCCTTAGCTTCTCACATCCATCCATCAGCTCTTGTAAATCCCTTCCTGTAGTTCAGAATTTCAGCAGATTCTGAAGACCACTGAAGTCAGACTTCTAAGATTTTACTGGCTGTTTACTGCTTTCCAACCTCTCCATGTAATGTTTGAGAAATTTTCAGACAGGAGCACTATGGAATTATCCTATAGCAGACATCAGGAGGGCTGGGGGACCTTTCATACCTTAAAGGCATAAAAGGGCAGAGAGGTGCAGAAGGACTTGGGGAGTAGAGAGGTGCAGAAAGCAGACAGGACTTGTACACAAATCTCATCTGTTCACAAAGATTAGTTTAATAGCGCTAGACTCCCATGCAGTATTTCCTGAAATACATGATGCTCCTCTCTCCTTTCCTTTTTTGCTTGTCTGTCTTCTTTGATGCCCTGAGGCCATGAATAGCAAACATACTTTCTGAAGTACATGTACTTCTGAAGCTTTCATTAGTACTCGGCAAACCACCCACCTTTCCCTGCCAAGGGAATAACCCCCAGTTTATGAAACATTGCTGTGGGGCTAAAGAAGAGAGGGAGGCTCCTCTGCAGACAGAGTTCAGAGCAGCTGCTTTGGGCTACTGGCAGAGCCCCTGAAGGAGCCACTTTCTGCCTTTGGGCTGCAGAGGAAGCTGATGAGGTTTAGCTGTCCTTGCTTAAGGGAGCCTTTTGTGACCATCTCCCAGAGAGATTTAGATGTGGTCAGTGCAGCTGCCCTTGCAGAGGGGCCATGGGATGGTGTCACACGAGTCAAAGGCAGGCACAGGAGTGCCCAGCAGGCAAGGGGCAGCTGAATGCCAGGGGAGTGAGGGCAGACAGAAGCAGAGAGGCCTTGCCATCCAGCACAGAAAAAGGACAGAGCACATGACTGGCATAACGTTTAAAAGCAAATGCTCACAATGCACATGCATCCACAGAATCGGATTTTTTTTTTTACAATTGAGAATTACAGAATTGAGACACAGGGTATAGGCCTGTGGTGATATTCCCTCAGCCAGCACAGAGGCTCTGAGCTCAGTGCTGCTTGTAGCCCCAGTGAAATCAACACTGCTGTGTTAGGGTGTGTCCATACACACCAGATCTATCCCTGTGCAGGCTGTGCTTTTTCAGCTCACGGCCCATCTGCTGAGCTGCTGTAAGGTACTCAGGAGCGTGAGATATAGTACATGGGATAGAAGAACCCAGGACTGACTGAAGGAGGCTGTGATAATGTTCCAAGTGTGCTAAGAGGGTGGTGGGGTGTAGCAAGTAAATGTATCATCATCACTCCTTTCAGGCACCCATAAATGGATGTCGTTGTGAGCCCCTGATAAATAAACTGGAAAATCAGCTGGATGCAACAGTGGAAGAGATAAAAGCTGAGCTTGGGACAGTACAAGATAAAATGAATATTAAGCTGGGCCAGATGGAAAGCAAAACTCAACATCAAGTAAGAACATGACCCGAAGTTCTGCTTGCCTATATGATTCAGAAACATACCCTAAACTTCATTAATATTTTCATTGTAATGATTAATTTTTTTGCTTCTTGTGTTGTAAAAGCAAACCTGCACTCTAATACTCAAGTCCAGGGAACTGTGACATTCCACTGGGAACTGATGTTGCAAACTAGGGTCTTGAGAAAAAACCATTTAATGTGTTAAGCAGCTTCTGGTGCTTCTTTAGACAACAAATCTTAAGGGCTTGAGCCATTAAGAGAGAAAGAAGGCAGTCCTATGACTAGTCCATTCATAATTGTCAAAATCCTCTTGCTGAATTATGTATGCATTGAGATTCAAGATCCTCTAAAATACTTTTTATTTTTAATTTAATAGTTATTCATTGGTAATTTTGTGATTGAGCCTCTTTGCAAGCTACATCTAGTTGTAGCTGGCAGCATTCTAGAAACCAAGACTGAACGACAGGCTGTAGTTTGATTTTCGGGGTTCAGGGGCGGGAGTTTGGTGTGTCACACGATGATCTCAGCTGCACAGTGCTGTTTCCCCGCAGCTCCGAGTTCTGGACAAGCTGATGGCCGAGCGGCTGTCGGCAGAGAGGACAGAGTGCCTGCACCGCCTGCAGCAGCACACGGAACTGGAGAAGAGTGAGGGGGAGAAGCGGCAGGTAGGGCTTGAAGCAGCCACTCCCTCTTGGTCCATCCCCTGGCAGGTCAGCTCAGGAGTTTCATTCCAGCAGGCAGAAAATATCAGAGATGTGTCACATCTGTTAAAACAGGTAAAAGAGCTTCAAAAACCAATTTATTCCTACCCACCATCTTAGTCACTAAACCAAATTTATGATGTTTTTGCAATAGAAATGAGGAATGTGAAATCCAGTCCCACTGCTGTAATTTAATTTGGCGCATCTCTAGTGTGGGATCTACAACAAAATACTGTTTTTCTAACATAGTGATTTGCAAAAATTTCCAGCACAATATTTTTCACAGTTGTGCTTTGAGCGTTTGCTTCATTAGAGGACATATGCGGGAACATATCCAAATAGTAAAAAAGACAAAGATCTGTGTTGTTCCTTTTCCTTCTCATCCATTTGGTTGTGGGCCCTGGGAATCTCTCCCTTCTTCTCTATCTGATCTTTTTCCCTCCCATGTATTAAAAGGCTGAAGTTCTTTCCTCTGATGTTAGCAACACAGCACCATCTCAAGCTGTGTATTACTGCCAATAGGAAAGTCCTTTTTGGTATGCTTGTTCAACCCGCAGGACAAGAACAACTGCTCCCATTGAGATCCAGCTCCTGCAAAAACTCACCATTTAAAACCTACTGAGAAATTTGTGTTTCTCCACTCAAACATGAATTTTAAAAACTGTTCCTTTTCTCATTATTGGTAATCTTACAAGAACTGAGAAGTACACTTTGTGCTAGGAAAATATCATGAGTGTTTGTAAGACCATTCCAAATCCATGTAAAAAGACTGATAGCTGTGATAATTCTGGCATAGTATACTGATTAAGATACTTGGGTCTAATGTCCACCAAATACTCTTCTCCAAAGAAAAGTACTTGCCAAACTAAGGCAGCTTTGATTTTTATTTTGTAAGAGACTTAAGTCTTGTATTGGCTTCTGAACATCTAAGCTTGTGCTCCATCTCCTTGTAATCTTCATTTAAGACGCAAGATGCTGGAGTGATACATCACTGAACTGAGTTAAGTGATGTCAGCTGTTTCTGCTCAATTAGGTTTAATTGAAACACCTGAAAAACAGAATTGGGCTTTACTAAACACACTGACTAAATATCCTTGTGCCTAGGAGGGCCTGACCTAAATTTGTGATGTCACATGAACAATAAGGTGAGAAGAGCTACTCCTGTTCTAAATTATTTAAATGCATCTGCAGCTGACACTTACTAAGTATCTGTGTAATTTGAAAGCTGTTACTGATTTATCATTTAGTGGGGGACTCAGCTTTATGACTGAATGAACAGAGAAGCAGAGGTTGGTAATTGTATAAAGTCTCCCAGAGTGTCTAATTTGAATTTCACTCTTAAAAAATGACCACGTGGTGTTCCTTGCACTTACAAAATACCATTGACTGTATGATTAGACAAGTCATCCCTGATAGAGTACTGAGAGTTGAATTGGAAGTAGCATATTCATATCTAAGAGGTGGTAGCTTGGACTAAAGAGACTGCCTTTCATAAGCTCGTGCATAGTTCTCCACCTTTTTTGATCTGGAGTCCTTTAAATATTCCCAGTGGCAGCGTGCCCATCTGAACAGGGAGTCTAAGCCCATAGATACCCAGCTTGCTTCTCTGTGTCCCTGCCACATGCCCTCAGCAGCCCAGAAACCACAGGATGTCATAATAGGATTATGTAATTTACAGTCTCTTTCTGATAGATTTCCTTGGTTGATGAGCTGAAGACCTGGTGCTTGTTGAAGATTCAGAATCTGGAGCTCAAGCTTTCTGGAGATTCCAGGTCATCAAGACCAAAATCAACTTTGTCCACTTGTGAGTCTCTCACTGAGACCCTGGATACTGACAACAACCCCAACAGTGCCAAGGACTGTAAAGCCAACCAGCCTGTGCTGCAGTCAGAGGGCTCCCACCAGCATTCCTACATCACACTTCCAAACAGCCTCTTGGAAGATGGGGGAAGGAGCAGAGTCCAGATGCCAGAACAAAGCTTTGGGCAACACTTTTGCATTAAACAAGATGGAGCATTGGGTACAACCACGTCAGGTACTTAGCTGTCATATCCCTTCAAGGGCGAGCTCAGTAACTGAGGGGCACTTGTATTATTTATAATAACTCTGGTGGTGTGCTTTCCCCCCTCCATATGCTGGGATTGGATGGCTTGGGATTTGAATGCCCTTCAAGGCAGCCACTGGGAATATTTTAAGAGGTGGCTGGGTGGAATTCCACTGATTGTTCCTGATGCTTCTACTTTTGCTTCTTTGAAGCAAAAGTCCTTTGGTGCTTTGAATAACTCTTGGCCCTGCAAGCTTTTGAAGAAAAAAAAAAAAAAATAAATGTGCAGAACAGCCAGGTGTCCACAGCAAAGCAGAATGCTACCTGAGCCCTGGCTTCTGTAAGATACAATCTATATGTCCCCTAAACACTCAGCAAAGTGAACAGGCATGGATGCCCCATCAAATAGAAAGGCATGTAAGAGATCTTGTGGTGCTTGAGTGTGAGCTATTCTGCATTGAAACAGTTCAAAAGCATAGAAATGTGTGACCTTTCCAAAATTACTGGGACTGCAAACTTTGTAGAAACAGAGTTCATAAATATCAACAGACACAACCTACTTTGGAGATCTAGACTGATAGTTGTTGAATGTCCTTCTGATGAAGTCACAGAATGGTTTGGATTGGAAGGGGCCCTAAAGATCATCTAGTTCTAACTCCCCTGCCATGGGTAGGGACACCTTCCACTGTATCAGGTTACTCAGAGCTACATCCAGCCTGGCCTTGCACACTTCTGAGGATGGGGCAACCACAACTTCTCTGTGTAATCTGTGCCAGTGCCTCACAGTGAAGAATTTTTGGCTAGTATTTATGTCCTTTGCCTGTTGTCCATCCTATAATGACTTTCTTTTACATCACCTGACTGTGAAGATGTGATAAACTAATATAAGCCTGTACAAGGTACACACAAAACCCCATCATTCATCAAACAACGAGGTCTTCTGAGTGCTAAAATAAATGCCCTATATATGTCTATAATTTGTTCTATAGGTACAGAGCAACAGGTGGCTGGTGGACCAGTTTCTTCTTCTGCCCCTGCTCAAGATGTCAGGCCAAAGGACAAAGCTGTGAGTGCCAGCACGTTCCACAGGTTCCAGCAGGAGCTGCCCTCCTCCGAGCTTTCGGGCTCCAAATTAAGACACGTTAAAGTTCAAGCTGCCTTGCAGCCAGTGACTGAACCTGCAAAGACTGAACCACAGAGCGGCTACTTCCTTGACAAAGGAACTCAGACAAAGAAGTCCAGCAAAAGCGGGCAGTCGAGGCACAAAGCTGTGCACCACGGCGGGACACAGCAGGGCCAGGAGCAGCAGCCCTCGGGCCCGCCTGCCCCTCCGCTCAGAGACACCTCCCAGGCCCTGGAGATAACCCAGTACTTCTTCGAGGCCGTCTCCACACAGATGGAGAAGTGGTACGAGCGGAAGATAGAAGAGGCCCGGTGCCAAGCCAACCAGAGAGCGCAGCAGGACAAAGCTGCGCTCAAGGAGCACATCAAATGCTTGGAAGAGGAGCTGAGCAAATTAAGGACTAAGGTGCAGAAAGAGAGCTAGCACCTGCCAGGCAGCTAATCAAACAACAGGACTCATTTTGGAACCTGCTGTATGGGAACTGGGCATATTGATAGATATTTGTAGTGCCTGTTAACATCCAAACACAACACTCTATTTCAGGAGTAGAAATAACTTTGGAAACTCCAGAACTGAGGAGAGTTCATATGCAAACTATATTGATAACAAAGAGATGCTGCAGATTAGATCCTTTCTTTGTTATTTTCAAGAGTCTGTCAATATTGCACTCTGAGTTTCCAGATGCTGCTTGAAACCAAACTGCATTAGTAACCAAAACTGCTTTCTGAAAAAGGAATTCCCTTACTTCCACACAGGACACAGACTAGAGGGTTCTGCTGTATGCTACATGTAAACACGTTGTGTTACCAGTGCTGAAAGAAATCCAAGATGTTTGAAAGTTTTTGACAGAATTACTTAGTGATGAAGGGCTATTGATCCTATTTTAGATACTCCCAGGGCCTCTCTCTAGTCAGGAGAGAAGCCAAAGAACCCACTCCAGGTACAAGCCCAGGTAGCTGACAGATGCAGGCTTCCAGCTGGGAGAGGGCAGGCAACCGTGGAGGGAGATGATAGGGCAAATCATCCCAATAGGTACAGAAACTTCAGCAGAAGCTTCACTTTGCTTTTTCTCTTGGTTTTCCATTATTAAAACAAGTACTAAATCTGATTTGTCTTTTTTTTTTTATGGTGTCCTGCTTGCAGAGCTCCTTGTGATTACACTATTGTTGAGGCTCTACTCCAGTAATCTAAGAATTTTGTTTAGGGCATGGATGACAAATATTTTACTGTAACCATGGTCTGCTTTTTAGGTTGAATGTTTTATATAAATCTTTTTTCCTTCAAGCAGGAAATGGCTAAATTGTCTACTACTGAAGAAGCTTGAAAAAGTCCTTTATCTAAGGAAGTGAAAGCTTGGCTTCCTGAATTCAAATTTTATTTTTCTGCAGTCAGGATTTTTTCTCAGGCACCTTGCCCAGACTGTCTACCTTTTTTCCTCTGAATGATTCCTCCTGGTTTTTTCCCTTCTGTCTCTAAAAAGGAGACCAGGCCCTGATGAGTCTACAGGTTTTAGGACAAACAGTCCCACAAAACAGCACTCAACATTTAAAGTTTTATAATTGTGTTTTGTTATCAAATCAGAACTTTCATTGACCAATGTTGTCCATGCTGACAGACTCCAGATAACTTCAAGGCACTGTAACTACTGCATCTGCATCCCTTTAGGGTTTCCTCCTTACACATCTGAGAAGGCTCCATCAGATCCTGCTAGAAATATAAGTTTATTTACCAGATCATGATAGAACAACTGTTCAAAAACAGTTCTAACACAGGATGGTACTGTTATGCCAAGGAGAAAAAGATTTTCTGTTCTAAGGAGCTCCAAAATCAATACAAAATACTTTACAGTGTTGAAGAAGGCCATTCACTAATTAGCAATTAAGCCTTTGTCTTCTTAGCGGATGTATAAAGCAAAAAAAGTCCTATTATATAACAATATTTTTAAAGTTCCTATTAATGCACTATCATGACAGGAGAAGTGTATCTGCAGCTATGGAAATACTAGATTTCTTGCTCTGACTTCTGTAGTCTAACATAGACACTTTGGTATGTTTACAGTTTTGTTTGAGCTACAGTAGGAATGCAGAAGCATGCTATTGAAGTTTTGTATCACCTGGATGAAGTTCATGTCTTGCCAAGCAATTAAAGTAAGTGTTGCTCAGAAATGTGTGGTGTAACATTTTCTAGCCACAGAAAACTGACAGTCCTCACTTGACTCTGAACAGGGAGCAGAAGATTGGACTTCCAACTTGTAAGCTTTTTGTTTGTGGAACCAACACAGACATGGAATCTGCCATCTGTGCAGAGGGAGGCTGCAGTGGCTGGTGCAGGTGCCCCTTTCACAGGGCTGAGTTGTGCACAGATCACACACACTCCTGAGCTTGCCCAAGCTCAAAGGGAGAGGCTGTGCCTTTAGCTCTACTTCCCATACAGACTACACTGGACCACACTCATAGGTCCAAGTAATTTAAGTAAACCCAAGTAATTACCAAGTAATCTAAGACAGTAACCAGGCTGCAGGTTACTGATTTTAGAGGTTCTCTGAGGCCAATGAGTGTATGATAAAAGAAAGAGAAGCATTTTCTGCTAATTCCTTTCTATACCCTTCCCTTCAAAACTGTGAAAGACTTTATAAAACAGGTGTGACCTACCTACATGTCTCTTCAGGTAAATTTACTTACCCTCACAAGCTGTACTTGGACTCTTTAAGGCTTCTGGCTGGCAGTTTTATACCTGGCAAGCCCACAGAGCAGTGGAGATGAAAGGCAGCAGCAGTTAAGAGGTCAGTGTCTGTCCAGGGCCCTGTCTGTCAGTCCTAGCTCTGGATTACATGCCCACAACCTGGAAATGTACAAACTGAGAGTCCAAAGGGTAATGCAGGCTCCAGGCTCTGAAAGGGAAGCACCATGGTGAGGCAGAAGGGTACAGCCTCCTGATTAGGGAACAGAAATCCAAGCACTGGCTGAAGGGGAATGGAAGGCTACTGTGATAACTGCCAACATTGGTTGTGGCTGATTGGTCAAAATACCTTTGTGAGCAGAACTTTCTCTTAAGGTGAAAAATAAAACCCCAATACAAAAATGTTCTCAGTCTGTTCTACCAGAAAATGTTAATAAAATGTAAATTTTAAATGAAGCATTTTTAGGTATGTATTTTTCACTGACTGAAGCTCAGAGGCTTCAGTCTATACAGATCTGAACCACAGCTCCTGCTCTCAACTGGGGTCATTCCTCCTGTGGCCTGGAATTCTGTCCTGTCCCTTCCCTGATGCCAGTGGTGATCCCTATTTACCAGGTTTGCTGCCAGTTTGTGCAGCTCAGGAATTCTGCAGAAAACCACCTTTGAAACAGGGGTTCTCCTCAAGGGAACTACAATAACAGAGTGGAAGAGGGAAGAGATCCTGCATGTCTTGGAATCACAACCTAAAATGGTAAGGTATCAATCTGCTGCTGCCTGTCTAGTCATGTGGAGAAAATCCCCTGCTCATCCAGGCCTTTTTAAATTAAATGGAAAAAAAAGATACACCACAGCTCAAGGAAAGTGAGAACAGTTGCAAGCTAACAATTAGAAGTAAAGTAGTATAACATTTGAATACACAAATCATAACTTTTGCAGTTAGTATTTTTTACCTGTAATTTTTATTTATATATTGACTTTCAAATACTAGTTTGAAGGTATCTGGTAATAAACATCTCTGGTCTCCCATTATCATAAATAAAGACCTCTCCTTTTAAGTTTTATTCAGCTACTACTGAAAATCAACATCTACACACAAAACATTTTTAATGTTTGTTTGTTCTGGGTCAAATATCCCAAATTATATCCCAAATTCTTTTTTTAAACACAAATTTTGGTGAAAATCCTTGGTACAGTACATGAACAGCTGTCACTGTGAATATTACCAATTACACCTACCACAGTAAAAAGCAGACAAAATAATCTGGCATATATTTATTTTTCTTAGCACTGGCATTAACACAGCGGTTTTAACTGTAGTTTTTGGTGCCTTCTGCTTTTCCTGCACCATATGGTATATCATCCATGCAGTTCTTTAATGTCCTTTGTGTCCAAGTGATTTCCACTTCTGAGGGTAGCAAAACTGAGAAATGGATTGGGGAAGGGGGAAAACCAGAACCCTCACTGTGGTAAATTTCCCCTTCAAACATCACCAGGTTGCCAGCAAAGGCCAGCATTGTAACCACATTCTGGAAAAAACCACTGTGCCTATTTGCAATAAATAAAAATTAAACTGTCAACAAAATGAAGATCAGGATTTAGCCAGCTTAAGTGTTCTCTGAAGTTCCTGAAGTTGCATGTTGCCTTGAGTAATCATCATCCTGATGGCATCCTGTAAAAGAGAATGGAATCTAGTGAACTGTATGTCTGTACACAGCATGGGTTTTACACAAGCACAAGGACTTTTAATGCATTAAAATACATTCAATAACATACAACTCTTACTGGCACTACTGTCATTTACTTGTGTGACATAACACAGATGGTTCAAAACCAGGTAAATAAATGGATTAATTTTCTCCAGTTCCTTAATGTACTTGGTAGTAGCTTTGCTTTCAAACTCAGTTTAAAAGAGGATTCAAACCCCTAACAATGGTTTCTTTATGCCTGTGTGTGTATTGCCTTTGCAAGCCACTAGCAAGACCAGCACATGAGCATTATGGAGAGGGTTTTACACAGCAGGTGCTGGTTTCTCTCAACATTATCTAACGGTCTAAGGCTTTGCATAGTTCAGCCACCAATTCCTTGGGCACTGGCTAGAACAGGGACTGAACGAGGAAGCAGAGGACAGGATATGTACAAGAAATGTGAAGGTTTCTGCATTTCAAACTTCCTTCATTATCCTTAACCATCCCATCTGATTGTAGTCTGCTTAAATATAGGTTAAATTTAAGCTAAAAAAAAAAGCTATAAAAAGCTTAACTGTTACTAAGTCTGTGTTAGTTACCATATACATACAAGTTTTCCTGATCTATGATTTGAGTAAGTACAGTATTTGTTGTTTAGGTTTTTAATTCCAGATTATTCTCTAAAAATTTGAGAAACTGTACTACTGCTAAGAGGGGGGGATAATATTTAGAGATACTGGGTTATTTCTTCACATAAATGAGGGAATAGTAACAGGGGACTTTTCACCAGTCCGGAAGCGACACTACAAAACAAACCCCAAGACACACGACAGGACAGGGCAGTGACCATGCCCGAGGCCAGGCGATCAGAGTGGCGGGTTCCTAATCCTCACCTCTTCTGTAGCATCCTTATTTCTCTTGAATTCCTCCCTGGCCCAGTCCCTTAAGTAGCGGCGATCCTGCTCAGCAGGGACCTCCCGGATAGCCCGCAGGATCTTGCGGTACAACTGAAGGACCTGCTGCCGCCTCAGGAACTGCCAAGGAGAGAGGGAAGTCTGCCCGCCGCCCCAGGGCACTGCTGCGCGCTGCGCCCTCGGCGCTTTGTTTTGAGGGGTATTTAAACAACCACAGAGTTCCCCATCGTTTGTAAAGGACGCAGTTTGCCCGAGGCCCCGCGCCCCGTACCTGCTTGAGGGTGAGCGCGGCCGGCGGGAGCCGCCCGGCGGCCATGATGCGGCTCCGCCCCTGCCCCGCCACGGGGCCGCCGAGCCCGCCCCGCGCGGGCGGGGCCGCGGCCGCCATTTCTTGCGTCACCGCAGCGCTCACGGCCGGGCCGGGTTGTTTCAGATTTGATCAATTCAAGGTGCAGACGTCGTAATTACAAAGAGTGGTACCTCTCTTTATTCGTATAGACGATACAAGATGCATAGCCTTTGCAATGAAAAATCACGTCCGTGATTTATGAAACATCCCCAACGCCTGCCTCGGACGGGGCAAACTTCACAGTGTAAAGTGGTAACGCAGGGATCAGCATATGGCGTGATTCAGAAAACTCCCTGCTGCTATCGTCAGGCAAAAATCGGCAATAATTAAAAAGGATGTGTTAAAACCGCAGAATAGTTTCAAGTATTCAAGTACTTTTTTTTTTTTGGTTGATTAAAAACATGTGCCTCTCCTGCTCCCCCACTCCTTCCTTCCCAGAAGCACCTCCACATGGGTCATGCTGGAAAAGTTTTATTTGTGAGACACCAACTTCCAATGCAGAAATGCCTTCCTAGGAACAAGACTGGTTTTACTTATGGCAGGGAAGGAGCAGCAAGAATAATATTACCTCTATTATTATTACAAATGCTTTTTTTAAAGGTAATAAATTATTACAAGAGAATTTGAGACAAGTTTTACATTTCTTGTGGGAATAGCAGGAGACAGTCTCACCATTGCATAATTGTCCTCTGACACCTTGGGAGCATGCCCCCAAACCATTCTGTTCTTACACAGTCTCTGCCCCAGGGCAGCTCCCGCAGGATAATCCCAGTCAGGAAGAGCTTCATGGGCCCTCCCATGAAATGCAGTTTCTTGTATTTCAGCAGTTCAGCAGCAGCAATCGGGTCCTGACCTTGTCTACAAAGCCTAGAGAGTGTCAGAGGCAGTCACCAGCTCAAACCACTGCCTGAGGGCATCGCTCAGAGTCTCTGGGAGCGCGTTCACGTCTCTAAGGATCATGTAGAACGGGAATGGGAATTCTTCCATGTAAGACCTGATTTCAGGCAATTCTCCAGGTCCTTTGAATATGGGTACTTTAATGTCCAAAATAGAATCCTGTAAAAAAAAGTGCTGATGTTACTACTAAGTGACACACATATTCTATGATCACTAATAGAATTTACCCTATTTTTTAAGTACTTATAATTCTCCCCTCTTAGATTAAAAGTTAATAAAATACTTCTAAGATTAAAAGCTCTAAGTGTTCAGTGGTAAATCAGATCAGAAACTGAACATTAATCAGTTAAATTCTTTTGCCCTTTTAGATAAAAGTGTACTAATCCATGAATTATAGGCTAGAAGGGACTAAGCTTAAGCTTCTGCAATACCAAATTCTGTCTTTTCTTAGCATATTACAATTTGAGTTTACTTTAGTTTCATTAATTTGATGCCTTCCCAACAGTCTGTAAGCTCTTTAGTGCTGAGTTCAACTCATATTTGTGCAGTGCTCTAACAGAAGATTCTTTAGCAACTTGAAAGTATTTCAGAAAATACTACGGAGACAAAAATCAGATTAAACTCCAGCTGTGTTTCTTGTAAAGTAACTTCTCAGTTGCTCAGTGTAGCAGCTCAGAAATTAATAAAGGTTATGGAAAACACCTTTTTTTCCCACAGAAAAAAAAAAAAAGACACCCAGAATTTTCACTTGATACTACAGCCAGGTTTCATCAGAACCTTTCAGCTGTTTGTCAGCAGGAGAACAGCTGAAAGGTTCTCCAGTTTTTCAACATTAAATATAGCAGATGAGTTTTTTGTATGCAAAAATAAAGATACAGGAAGAAAACAAACCACAAAATTTAAGAGTCTTTACCACATAATTCTCTATCAGGCTTGTTTGCTCACTTACTGCCTTACAGAGCCTTCCTGAAATACGCCCAGATATTTCAGCCTCCCAACCAAGGATATCTCAAGTTTTCTTCCCCCATTACCGGATGCAGGACTCGGCTTTCCCAACTGAGGCACTAAATAACTCTCACACACTCCCTTCTGTCTAATGTTTAATCTCATACTGGCTCCAGCTGTCATGTCAATTGGGGACTGCTGTCAGAAATTATCAAGCTGAATCAGAGCTGAGATGGAACAAAGCATCTCTCAAACTCCAAGTCTGTCAAGCTGCCAGCTGCTTCCCTGGTGGCCAAGAGCCACAAGCATTCCGTTTGAAGACGGGAGCTCTTGGCCTTTCTGTGGCATGGAAGCAGAGAGGGCTTTTTTTAAAATACAAAAGATAAAAAGCACAGTAGGAAGAAATGGTAGATATGACAGACGTGGAAATCTGCACTTGGGCTCAGTATCTCTGACCTCTACAAAAGATAAGGTAACTGTATGGCACTATAAAAGACAGGAAAAGGATTTGTATCAGTTTCTCATTCACTGCAGTTGAATACTTCTCCCTTGTTCACTTACCCGGGAATTAGGGTTGTCCAACACTACAAAAATAACAAAGATATTGGCACTCCGAGCTGCTTGAACTGCTGCTGTCACCCGCTCCTTGCCTTCCAAGAAAAGGCCTCTTCCATCAGACACAATCAAAAGCAGCTGCGCTGTTTCTGAGCACAAAGAACATTTCAAACTCCAGTAAGTTCAGAGTAAAACATTTAAAAGGCAAAAATCCCTATTTTGCTGTTTGGCCTGTGGGTATAATGGAAAAAGGAGTATTCCTAAGGATATTAACTCCTCAAATAGAATTCTGTCAAGTCAGTCCAATCAGTCTGAAGTAAATCTCCTGAAACATCAAGCATCACACTCATGCCGGGTTGCTCAGCACCAACCATTTCTGGAGATATGTTACTTGACCCAAGTTGTCCCTAGAGTCAGATACATCCCTCTAGAGGTACATTTTAAGTTATGTATTCAATTACACATAAAATCACAGTGATTACAGT